AAGCAGGATTTATGTAGACTTCCCATATATGTATACTTGAGTAATGCTATGGGTACAGGAAGTTACTCACAAAAAATGGACAGAATACACACAGTAGGTGGGCCTTTTTTGTATATATATTTCCATGTATTAATATGTATTTATAATAATTTATATTGCTGCTAAGCAAAAGTCAAATAAAAAATTTGTAATTTACACACGAGTTGCACATTTGGAACGAAGTATGGAACTTTGGCTAGTAGCAACTTGTTGGGACAAAAAACCATAATCAATCATAATAAATATATCAGTAGTCAAGTACAAAATGAGAAAATAAGCTGAAATGCAAAGAACATCATGATGAGGTCGGTCCATTTTATTTTTACCAAAATTTAGCTACCTCACTATATTTCATCTATGAGTTCACACCCCTTTTCACTGAGGAGCATACGAAAACTTGTTGCTTTCTCGTCTAGTCCAGCATCCTCGAATGCCTTCGAAAGTCTAGTACATGTGGAGCTATCAAACTCTGATGTTGCAGATTGCCTCCACTGGTCGAGTATGTCGCCTACCTCTTTCAAATCCTCTACCATAAGATATGAAGAAAGTATGCATACATAGTTTCTTCCTGTCAGTTTTTGCCTAGTCATCCTCAAAGATTTCCAGATTTGATCGAGTCTTTCTTTGTTCTTCAAGGCTCCATACAGAATAATAAGGAAGTCGTAAGTGATCAATTCCCTTTGCGTGATATCCTTCTCACTTTCCACGAGGGAGTCGAAAGCTGAATGCACCAGGTGACTTGAGGTAATATATATGTCAACAAGTTTCAAATATCTAACCCAACTTTCATTACAGCCTGAATCTCGACTCATTTTGCCAAGAATCCTTCTCACCTCATCAATATTTAGAGTTGCAGCACATGAACTTACCCATAGATTGTAGGTAAATAGATCTGGTGGAACGTTCTGGTGTTCTAGTTCCTCGACAATCAAACTCACCTTTTCCAGTTGTCCGACTGACATATATAAAGTCATTAGTTCATTGTAAGTGATGGCACTCAAGGAAAGATTTGCTGCCTTGATTCTTTCATAGAGATCTTCTGCCTTTTCTATTAGTTTCAACCGAGCATAAGAGTGGAGGAGAGCAGTGTATGTTTCACTAGTTTTTGCTAAGGGAGGTAGTCGTTCAAAGTAGCGTTCGGCAGAATCAATGCCAAAAACTTTGGTCATCAGGTCTATACGGACAGCATAATCGGAGTCAGATAACTCATACTCATCATGACTAATCATCCACTCGGATATCTGCAAGTTTATAACTGTTGTAAATCAATAAATGCTGTTAAATTAGATGAAAACAAAGAATGAACTCTGGATAATGAATAGAGATCAAATTAGCAACATGAGGAATAACCTCAAAATCTACGGAGCTGAGCAGTAACATCAAAGAAAAACTATTATAGACTCTTAGCCTTCAATGTTAAAAGCTAAATTGATACTTCCAAAGGACTACAAAACTTTCCAGCCACAACAACCATTTCTTGTAACGGTTGTGCTACATGTACATCACAATTTACAGATTTATTTATTAATAGATGATATGGCGAGATTTAATTGGGTTTGAAATTGCCTCATACAATTAATAAAAACTATACACAATTGAAGAAGAAGAGAGGAAAAACAAAACTAGGCATTTCAACAAGGGTCTGGAATTGCCTCATACAATTAATAAAAACTTTAAGGCACTCTTAGCCCCACTAGATCTAATAGGATTCTAATTCCAATTCGGAAATTTACTAATTTACCTATGGAACTACTAGTATGACTTATAACAAACAAGGAAATATGAAGAAATAGTGATTTTCTTAACTAGTACCCAATGAGATCCCTAAAGAATAATCTTCTTCCTTGGCACTAGCCATGGAAAGTTCAAATTTTTTATTGAAGCAGTCTAAATATGAGTCAAATCAACTACGATGAAGGTATGAGCAGAAAAATACATAAGGCGACCAACCTGAAAAGGTTGAGACAATGTCCAAAAAAAGACGGGCATGCAAGTCCACGGTGTTAAAATGCAGCTATGAAATTGATCATTGCAAACCACCAGCTCAAAGTGTATGAAAAAATACCAATAACATCGTGCACAGTGAATTAAACCAGATTCCTCAATAAACTT